TGCGTTGCTATGTTTTGATTCGTGTATTTAATTAGTTTGATATACGTCTATTATAGCTGAGCTATGAGCTTGCTATCATCAGTTTAGGACCAACTCTCAATGTTTTGTTTTATCCTGTATAAAGTTGACTACTTAACACATACTTTCGATGCTAGAAATCACAAGTTTATCGTTCAATTTGCAGGTTTTGTCAGAGTTCATCGTTATTGCACTCAATTGTGTTAATTGCTCATTAGTAGTTGACTGGACGTTAAGGAAAAACTGTGTCTCCCTTTCATAAAATCTCAGTGTGTTCTTTCTTGGCTAGTTCAAGGACCTAGAACATATGCATGTTGTGGTTCACTGAGTTACCTCGTTAGTAGTAGAAGCGTTCCAAAAAGCACCTAAGCAGTCTTGTCTCACCGTTTCTCATTAATCAACATTCCAAAAAAAGCCCTTTTATTCTCCAGCTTCTCTGTTGCTGTAAACTCGGCACCGTATTCTTTTAATATTGCTGTGCCTTGCGTGATTTTTAGGTGGAATACTTATATAGCAGTCTAACGTTGTGACGTAGTCGTCTTCTTCTGAGACCAGGATAAACCGAAATCCGCCGTCACATGTGGATGTTGGTCCGTTTTTGCTACTGACTAACATCCGCATGTGACAGCGGATTTTAGGTGGAGCCCTGGTCTCTATAGAAGACGAACACGTCGAAACGTTAGATCGCTAAATAAATTCCCACCTAAAAACCTCTAGAGGTAAGGCAACGTCAAGGAATTATTCTTTATTTATTCATTTTTTATACCCACCATTTTGGAATATTGGTTTTGTTATTGTTTAATTTATTGCGCTGACTTGCTGCATCATTTCATCAATCCCTTCGTCATTTTCGATTTTGCGAGAGTGCATTCATAGAGAGTTTCTTCAAATTGTTTTTTGAATCAGTATTTGGATGACAATGAGACGTTTTTCGTTGGTGTACGATCAATTCATGCAACCGTTTGTTCGGATATTTATTTTGAACGTCTTGTATGTTGTAATAATTTGGGACAAAAGAGATTGGAGAGTCCGTCTGAATAAGTGCTACCGTAATTCCAATCGTCATTGAGCGCAATGTTGCATTAGAGCATGTGTGGTGCAGTCGATCAAGGGTAACGAACACTTTTGAGTTCTTCATTTATGCTCTTCATCGCGTATCTTTTTCTGATAGCGTTTACTGTGGGTGTACGTTGATGCGCATGCTGGTACGCAAAATTAACTCATATCTCTCACCATGTGGCATGAAAATCGCTCCTGTGATTGAAGGAGTATTAACGTTTTAAGTCATATTAAATTAGAATCATTTCGGTAGGGATTACTCACAAAACAGTCGAACTGTCGTACTCCTGCTAACACTGATCTCGAATCTATTCAGAGTAAAAGCTGAATCGATGTAGTTCAACGCTGCTAACCAGTGAATGCCAATAGCTTAGGTATCGCGTACCGTGCTCTAGTGCAACTGTGCGCTGCGGCGCAGTTCGTCGACTTGGGGGGGGGGAGGGGGCATTTTGCTTTCCATAGATGTGTCGACCCATCTAAGCAGCCGTTTCTCGAGTTGACACGTTTTAGGATAGTGGCTAGACGATCTTTCTTCAGCTTAAAAAGAGTGCACAAGTTTTACCAGAGTGAGATTTGTAAGCCGGAACTAGGGAGGCAATGACAATGCAAAATGCCCCCGTCGACAAACAGCGCCGTGCGCTCCAACGGCATTTGAGATTGCGGTAACGCTCGTTCGCGCGGACTTCCGAATCACTTGAGTGATTTGGATGGGCGTTGTTAAGGTGTGCGTTGAACGACAGGTTTGCAGAGTTCATTCTACCGTTGCTGGTGGTGCTAGTAATAAACGAGAATGTTCGCGCACTACATTCCTCCAGGTGATGATTTCAAGAGTGGCTTTTGTGATGGGAGCTTTCTGTTACTGCTCTGTTATTGCTAGAGAGTGGTAGTTCGACTGATATTCTTCAGAGCTGGCAGAATTGGTGCAAGCGGGTGTTTTTGTGCCGCTAGTGGGATCGAACACTCGGCCTAACGGACGCAGTCCACCGTACACATTGCCCCTTGCCCACCTTCCCGTCATGCATATGGCGCCTGGCCGTGTACGTTTTTTCCAGTTTATTTCTTCTTTATTTCACTATTTGAAGGATTTTTTGTAGAGATACTTAATGACAGTTTCACTTCTGTCGGTTTTCTTTTCACCACTCCTTGATATAACCATTTACTGTCATACTACCACTAACTGGAGAATTTCATGTTGCCGTGGCCAACAGAGATGAGATTTATACTGCCTTGAATGGTTTCTAAGTCCATTTCACATCAGCCTTACAGTTGTTTTCCTTCCTTTGCTGTCTCACACCTTATTGCATTATACGTTGGTTGGAGGGGAGCTGAATCGTGGCAAAGGGAATTAGCGATTGCGTCTTCTGTTCGGTCATTTATAAATGTTAGGTAAAGAGGGGAATTGAAATTCTCGGCTTCTATGGCTGAATGTGATTCAAGCAGCTGAGCCCTCTGCGAAATCCAGCTTGCTCCAGTGGTTGCGACTCGTCCAGTGTTTGCGATATGTGCGCCAGAATGACCTTTGTAAAGAGCTTGTGGGGGACATAGCAAGCTCATTGGACGGTAGTTGCGAAGATCATCGCGGTCACCTTTTTTGTGTAGGATAACTATGTGTGAGTTTCCCACTAGCCTCTCCTGTAGATATGACGTCATGTGTACGGCAACCGTTTGAAGTTCGTGGCCGGCCGTTGAAGCATACCGACCGAGATATTGTCTAGTCCTAGCGCTGTGTCACCCTTCATGCCTGCAATCGCAAAGGGCGGAATTCGGGGTGCTTCTCCTTCCATAGGGATCCCTGCTACTCTGCGTGTGTAGTGGACTGGTAGAGATAGGTATAAAACCTCTGTGTTATCTCCACCATTTCCATACGGGAATAGGTAGAAGCTCCATCTTCCCTCTTGCCTCTAGTTGCTTTCGCTCCCTGCACCGCTGAAGGTCATGCTGCACCGGTTGCCTACAACTGAAGTTTGCATGGATCCTCACGTAGTGGGTGGCGTTCAAATTTAGCCTTAGGCTTCTCCTAGCTTGGAGAGCTTTGGTTTCCTCTGAGAGTCGACGAACGGGATCCGATCGCACGAGAACGGCCGATGTAGCGCACGAGTGCAAGCTGGAAGCAGCGCTTCGTAGCCCTCGGTCGGATCTTCTTTAACGTGACAGCGCTATCTATCCAGTGCAGCATTCAGTGCATCTCCGTCGTACACAGCCCGTTTTCCCCCTGTCACGCTATGAAAGACGGTCTTCCTCAGCTTACGACTGAATTTAATCTTAGCATGAAGGAGGCGAAGATCTGAGCGGAGAACGGTACCACGGCAACATTCAGCGAACACCATTTCGTGTAAGCTAGTGTGTTTCAGACTATGTCCAGCTCAGCATGAGTCGCGCCTTTCTGACGATCCTGAACTCCTCATCCGACACCTTACAGAGCCTTGCGTTGAAGTCCCCCACATCAAACTTGTAGAATCACATCTCACTGCGGATTACTTTCTCCAGCTGGTTATAGAACGCATCGAGTTATGCCTCGTTGGCTGAAGAGTAGGGGAAAATAGCAGCTAATGGTACTCATGGGCTTGAAGTGTGCGTGCCGAAGGCGCAAAGTTGCAAAGCGAGGATATAAGATTTCTTGCGAATCCATGAGGTGGACAATAAGTGGATGTACCTCAAAACCATCGCCATTTACATTCTGTGATAGAAGCTTCTCTCCACGAATAGCAAGGGTTCCACTTTCCATTCGGCGCGCGTCGCTCTTCTTTCTCTTAGTTTCCTGTAGGCTGCATTGAGAAGCTCATGAAGAGGGGTTGACAGCACTTGAATTGTACAAAAAACAAGCAGTCTCCAGTTGTGTGGTGAGCATGCCTCCGTTATCTGAACTCTTAATTAACCCGAGAATTAACCCGATTAACTCTCACCGGTTGCCATACCTCTTGAAGCCGGGAGAGGCAGGGCTTAGTGGCCGGGATACCGAGGCCGTTTTGTGCTGAAGTAGCTGGTCTCTGGTTCGTCAACACTGACGACCAATGCGTCTTTCTCACGATAGCTATAAGCCATGTGGATCAGAGGGAAATGAGTGGACTACGCCTCACGGTGTGCTCATGTAGATGTGTCTATTACTAGTGAATGTAATAGTGAGTTGTTTAATTAACGCATTTGAAACAAAAATAAAAACTCAGAGCAACAGCGGGCGCATTGGTTGGGACTTTTTGGACCATAGATGGCCGAAAGTCAGTGCGATCGATATCTGATGATTGGGGCAAGCACGTGGTAGGGCGATTGCCTCGCTATGGGTAGGTGTTCATTTCCGCTGGGCAAGTCCTTGTCCTTATCCTCCAACGCAGAATTTGAGACGTAACCTACAAGGGCTTTGTGACAAATTAACCGTGGAGAACGAACCCAACCGATAACCCAAGCGAAGAGTCTTTGTCCTCACTCTCTAACGCAGAATGTGAGGCCCAATTCACTGGGGTTTGGTTAGAGCTTAACGCGAGGAGAACGAATTCAACGGCGACCCAATGCGAATGGCTAAGGGCCCACTCCACCGTCCCTATCCCCAGACAACTACCCAGGCACGGCTTCGTTTGCCGCTGAAATGTGGACTCAGGGGTTGACATTCTAGACGATACAATGCCCGTGCTTGAATGGGGAGCAAAGAAAAAACATGTTTTATATAACCATGAATAACCGTGATATAGCGGAAATTTTATTTAAGACCAAAAATAATGAAGTTATTTTAGAAGTAGGCACATTCACAATACCACTCGTTTCGCCCTCCCATCACGTTGAGGTGGTAGGCCAGCGAGGAGGATCAGCTTCTTACACCTTATTACATAGTCATCAGTTATTTATATCTTACTTATTGTTGCGGGACCTGAGTACTTTGTTTATCGGAGTGCGGTTTCGTTAATTTTTTTATTAGGTATTTTTTTCAGCATATGTCTTTAGCATGTCCTGGGGAAGGTCCTCCACAGATGCGCAAGATGTTTATCGGAGGACTCAGTCACGAAACAAGTGATGATGCGGTAGGTTGGAAGACATTTATCTTCTCCACATTTGTCGTGAAACGTCCATTTGTTTACAGTTGCGTGTGTATTTCACGCAATGGGGTCCTGTAGTCGACGCCATTGTGATTCGAGACCCCACCACGAAACAGTCGCGTGGTTTCGGTTTCGTCACTTTTGCCACTATTGCTAGTCTCGAAGCGGCTATGGTGGATCGACCTCATGTTATTGCTGGAAAAACGGTATTTTCATAGTGGTGCAGTTACAGTTTCTGTACAGCTTATTAATGTAGCAAAGTGACCTAGAGGTAGATTGTCATTGTTTTCCAGGTGGATTCGAAACGTGCGATTCCTCGTGAACAGATGACACCACTTTTCCCACCACCATTCTTCTCGTGTGAGCAATCACCCGGTTGCAAACTTTTGCTATCAGGTAGTTGCTTTTGCTTGTGCGTTGTTCCTACGCTCACAGTTTCACAGCTTCACAGTGATGATTCAGTTATACAGTCTTTTCGAAGCTGACTATGTGCAATCTGAGTGATGAATGATGTTATTTAGAGTCAAGCACCATGGTGAAGAATAGGGAGCGCGGCTCGTTCAACTCTGGCGATTTCTCGCAACGTATGGGGTTTGGAGATCCAAAAAGCGCAGTGCCCTAGAGAAGCTCGTAATCTTACACGGTAGTGTTGTACGCATAAGCTTAACCGCGTCGGCTCTCCGCTCCTTCAAAATAGTTTCCAACACATTGCAAGTTCATCAGCAGCCATTCGAACCATTCGTTTGCGAAAATTCTTATTATGATCACAGCCAACAGCAAATGAACTCGATCAACACTAAATACAGAACAACGAGTACTGAACAAAATAGGGGCAAATATTCCTGTATGATTAGTAGCGCATGAAACTCTCCCTTGATTTATGAGGCTGCACTCTCTTCAGCAAAATGGCCAGGGTCCACTTTTCGTTTACTTTATAACCATTCACCATATATAATTTGCTCAATTTGCCTCTTCTGTTTGTTTGTTTGTTTTTGTCTTCCGGAAGTTCGGTCCGACTTGAAGAACAACTGAGAGGTACTGAATCAAAGTTGCGATGGGAGGACGTGGAGAAGAGATGTAAAGACGTACTTGACCTATTTTAGTCCACAGTGGGCGGGGCATGCTCCGAAAGTTGGAGATGCTACAGACAAAAATTCATAATTCGCTCCCAGAGTAGCCCAGAGATTGGGAAAGGTGGAATAAGGTGATCGAAGGGTTGGCGAGACTGATAAAATCAAATGATCGATCCCTTTGTGTGATGCGGCACGCATTCTACTTCCATTCAGAATTGCAGTGGCTTATTGAATGGCATGTGGCCTATACAATGACTTGAGCTGGCCAACCGATGTACAAGTCAGTGTTTTATCCTCCCAGACGGACCTGGTAACAATTTACCGTTCGCGGAGGGTAGAAGGGGTGTTGGCCTGGGCGGTAGTCGACCCAGGATTTGACCAGGCCGCGGCGAGTGGTAACGCGCCACTTGTCACACCGCGCCGTGGCAAGACTAAATGGGGAAAATACACCAAGGAACGAGCGCGGCGTGCTTGAGCTATCGGTTCTCGGGATAGCTTGTAGATCGCCAAAAGAGTCATTGGGGTGCAAAAGCATCTGGCGAAAGTTGAGCATGCTTGTGCTGTGTTGCGACCCGCCCACAGTGGGCGGAGCTTGCTCTAAAGGCATAGGATACCCATTTTAAAAATTGTAGGTCGGTTCCGAAGGTTTCCAGAGACCGAGAAAATGTGAATTACAGTAGGCAAGAGATCATTCATTACTGTGAGACACACACGCTTTGAGCGGGAGCCTGCGCCGAGGTAGGCGAGACAAACAGAAATCTCTACAGCGGTTCCAGACCACTGCAGACACCGGAAAAAAGTGAGTCAATGTCAGCGAGTGCTCAGCGGTCAGAAAATATAGGACTTACCCGCTGTGGACGGAGCGTTCGCGGCGAGGTGGGTGGAGCCATACTGGGAAATTCGTGAACCGTTCCAGAGCACTTTAGACGCCGTCAAAATGTGGGCAACGATGTAGAGGAGTCAGTCCATTGAGTGATAAAGACACACCTGTTATGGGCGGAGCATGCGCTCAGTGTGGATGGGGCGAGAGTCAAGATTCACAAATTGTTTCGGAGGCAGCTAAGCGGTAGGGGTAAGCGGATTGAGGTCTACAAGGGGTCAGCAGACAAAATAGGGAGACATCCGCAAAATGGACGGGCCGTACTCGACATGGGGGTGGTGCTTGCTATGATATTCCATAATTCGTACATGAGTCTGGAGATCACAAGAAATTTGTGGAGAAGAGAATATGGCGAGAGTTGAATGTGTCTGTGGTGTGTGGAGACCTGCCCACAATGGCGGAGCGCGGCCCCATTCGCGGCACCGAGGCTCCTATTCATACTATGTGTTGGCGTGCAGGCAGCTATACTCCTAACCACCGGTTGTCGTAGGTACATTTGATCTCAGTCAGCTCGCCGGCTGACGCCAGCGCGCCTCCTTTCTGTGATACAGCCAACGCTTCCTTACCACCATTCCATACGCGGTGATAGAGTTGAAAGTAGGCAGGTAGGATGTTATTGGTCAATGGGCTTTGACCATTAGTACAAACAAAAGAAAAGCCGGATATTGGTTGAGTATTTAAACATGTGAAAGAAGGTATGGCGCGCAACGCCGCGCTCGCCCGGCAAAGCCTGACCGTATTCGTATTCAGAAGGACATGCGCCGCTGTCAGCCGACGAGCCGACTGGAGAAAGTGCCTGATGAATGATTTCATTGGGTATTGAGGAAATGCAGATTTCGCATTAATTCCGTGAATCTGCTTGTTGTTGTATTGAAGGTGGGCCTCAGTTGAATGATAAGAACTAATCTCCAAGAGCTTCTATAGCTCTTGCAGATTAGTTGGCTGTAAGTTGTCCACTTCCTAGTTCCAGGTATGTAAACAGAATTGAGTTTTCATATCCACCGAGTAAGAACATATGGAAGCAGAACGAGCGTGCAAAGGTGCTACACACGACTCCATGTTACGTAGCTGTTGTGAACGTGCAGACATTCACACGCGGTTGCGTCCCGCAGAAAGCGCAAAGCGGGAGTTCGCAGCAAACACGTCGCGGCGTCATTTGTGTTAAAACAAACTGTGCACTCACTTCCACAGTTACTCGTCCATGCCATATGTGAGACTAGTGGGTTCATTGTTGCATTGGCCCACCACTTTCTGTCGTTGTACCAAAACTGAAACAGGGCTGGTGGGTAGTGATATTCGAGAACCGTCTTCGTACTCTCTGCGTGCTGCCGCGCGGTCAGCCACACACTTAGGCTATAGCCAACGCGCTACTTGTCTGTGTGCTTTTATTTGCTCATTGTGGCTCTACCCCCTGCGGTGTTAGTGTCACTGGGAGATGTTCTTGTCGTGGCATGCTGCAAACTGAGGATAGCGCAGACTGTAGCATGAAAATGGCACGGACATCATTGCCCTGCAGCCCGTTCCCAGTGCTCTCGAGGCGAAAGAGGCTCAACTACTGCAGCTGCGGACCCATTCACCTCACTCACGGGAGGGCTGTCCACGATGGTAAGGGTCCAATCAGTCTTCAAAGACAGCCCCCGCGTCGAGTAGTACATGTCGTCCTTCCTTGTGCAAGTAGTACAGCCGCCAAGCTAGAGACTGTCCCACTCTATTCGTTTTGCCACAGCGAGCGAGAAGCGAGCTACAGCCGCTGTAAGTTCCAGTTCTAGCGCCTCGCTCAGGTGGACCGCCTTACTTGCCAGATGTCCTCCGACGGAGGCCTCTCAGTTGTTCTTAGTCGGGGCGGCGGGCATTCCTAATCCATGGATAATTCTGTCCGCCTTTATTACAGTTTACTCATTGGAGGTATATACATTCAATTCAACTCATTTCGGCGAGGTGAAACGCATAAAAAGCACGAGTGACGCAATTTTGTGATGCGAGACCTCGACGCACAAACGTGCGCTACGTAATCCCAAATTCAGACACACCGCGTTGATAAAATTCCTTTTTCCTTACAAGAGTTCTTTTTTTTGCACTGGATGATACTCAACTACTGCGAGATGTGATAGAGAGATTTGTGAGCTAGGGGTTGCCACAGAGACCGCAGGGAGGTGTGACTGTAAGGGAGCGATTTTTGTTTATGTTGTTCGTGGAGGACGCTTCTGGCCTGTTTTCTTCTTTGGGAGATTACTTATCAGGCTACTGTTTCATAATTGAAAGCAGCTATCCATGAGACTTTTATCGCGGGAGGCTGTCTTTATTCTGAGACACCTTATCTATATGCTTGCGTTGTCATTGAGCGGGAGAGTGTACTTCGAATATGCACCTTCGCTTCCAGGTCTCAACTGGGATTACCACAGCGTTGACACTCTGCGAATTTATTTCGAGAAGTTTGGATCCTTGGATCAGGTCTGTTTCTGTTTACCATGATTGACTTTCCAGTCCCTATTCAGTGGTTATAACCGTTGTTTGTGCAGGTGGAGATTCTTGGAGATCGTCGAGGTTTCGGATTCGTTGTCTATGAAGACAAGCAAAGCGCCGACAAATGCCTGAACGAGAACAACGGTAGACATGTAATAGCATCAAAGAGAGTGGATGTGAGGGTGAGGAAATAAATTTACGTTGGCAGCAACCATTATTTTTCGTTAGCGTACTTCTGATTTCGTTCTTTTTCTGAAGTGATTGGATTCGTTTCTAATCAGTAGCTGTTGGACAGGTTTGGAGTAATACACATTGGGTTATATACGAAGTGTCTAAAGTACTAAATGGTAAGAGCGCCCATAAAAATGCTCCTTTTCCAGAACTGTGCGCCAATTCGAACAGATTCCCCATCGGGTCTACTACAATAGATCCTATTTACAAGTTCATTCGAAAAGTTCGAAATATCCGCCCTTTGCCACGGCGCAGTACATCAAACGATCGAAACGATGGTATTGACAGCGCTAGTCCGTCGGCGAGGCATTGACAAGTTCACGTCAAGGAATGTGAGAAGTGGAAGTATCGTTGTTTCTCTGAGCTTCATTTCCATACGTTGTTTGGCAGACAGGATGAAGACCCCTTTCTTTTTTTTCAAAAAAATTTCCTTTTTTTCTGGGCATATCTCTTTCTTCAGATCAACTTGATTGTATGCATTGTACCGTACAAAACGAGAAAGATTAAGAAAATAAAAACAGGTGCACCAATCGGAGTTGTTCTAGGGTAGGGTTAAACCAGAAGGACGAAGGAGGAAATGGAAACTGTGGAGGGTCTGCAGGCCTAGCGACAACGAAATTTGAAAAGGATTACAACTGATCTTCCTACTGCCTACCAATGACCTCATCCAACTCATTGCCCTATTATTAGTTAGACCTCATAGCTATTTTCATCTACTCATTGGTTGACTGGCAGTGCATACTGCTTCAATTTTAGCGCTTCCCTAGTCTTTCTTTCGGCGGGGTCTACCACATATCTGTAGAGGATAGCAACCCAGAGTTTGAGCGACCTGTTTCGTGCGTCTCGTGTGTGTGTGGTATTTCGAGCATGGATTTTCTGGGCAGTTCTGGGGACTGAGCAATGCTCTTACCAGGAAAGGTCAACAGGTCAGCCTGGCCATTTCCAATGAGAAGCACACCGTTATATACGCGTCTTGAGACAGTGAACTCAAACTGACATTCAAAATTTGCGGAACGATTCTCTGAACGGAGTGATGAAGGGTTTCATCCCCGCGTGGTTGTTTTACATGCTATGGCGGGGAAACGTGGGAGCGTCCTTACATACATGTCTAGAGTCTTCCACAGATGTGGTAGTAGGCCGTTGCGTCGACCTGACCTTAGATAGTTTTTTTTCTTTTCATTTGACCTCAACACACTCTCCATGCGACACAGCTCAGCTGCTCGCTGCGTCTCACAGTTCTTTATAAGGCGCTGTTGGGCAGGGTCTGGTAAGTCCGAAGCTCTAAGTGGCCTTTTACGATATGTTAGACACAACTGCCAACGACTCACAAACAGGAGGCGATCGACGTCAAGATGTGCTCATTTCTAGAAATTACCTCTTGTGAATGAACAAAACTTTGAAGTATTACTGGTCGTAATTGATTGCGTTCCTTCATGTTGATACTGCTTTCGGTTTCTCAGTGACGAGCGATGTTCTGGTCGCTTTGAGCATTCGCGACGAGGCGCATACTCCGAAAACGACTAGTTCGAAGCGGCGCACTGGCGGGCTCAGAAGTGTCCGCCTTGAGAGGCGGCTAGGGTTCCTCATGACCCCTTTTTCAGATTTTGACTTTCCTACTCTTATTCGTGGTTCTTTTGTCAGGACTTCCCCGTGTCACCTATGCTCTCGCTGGTCATCGAGATGATCGAGTGGGCACGTAACAGTAACGTCTCCATTCGTCCGTGCAACGTGCTAAAGTTGCTCAGTGGGTTCTCTGTGCTCGAGGGACGCAATGAACCTTATACCATTCGTTCAGAGCTTTCACGAAGAAGTCTGACCATCGTGTGGGTGGTCGTCCAGGTGCACGTTTGACATCCCATGCAACCCAGTCGGTAATCGGTAATCCTATACAATCTTCCATCTCCCAAATTCTATACATTTGTGGACTGTGTTTTACTGTTTGGTTCATACAGCAATTTATTGTTATCCTATTATTCGATGATATAACCGCCCGCCAAACTGGTATTTTCCCTCTTAATTTTATCGTTTAATGTTGCAGCCTTTCCCTAAGCGCCAGTCAACGTACTGGCGACGTAATCCAAATGCACCAAGCGGCGGAACAATGGGTGCGACAGCACCAGCTCCTCCACCTACGCTTTACGATCAGCTTGCTGCAATGAGTTTGAACACAAGAGCTACGCAATACGACGAGGATAGTAGCTATGGTGGCACAACCACTGAGGTTCGTTCGATCACAAATTGTTACCTTCAGTGTAGCCACAAAATATGATCCTCTAGTCTTTCATGTAACTTGCTTATCTCTGAATTTCTGTCGAATAGTGCGAGGTATAGCTTTAAAGTAATGCCTTTCGCGTAGTTTACGGAAACCGCGCAACTGCACCAGTTTTGGTGAAAAATTTGGTGACGCCAAATGACGCCAATGTTAAAAGCGAATATCGTTTGTGATCATGGCGCAGGGTAACCCAACTGCGCAAGTTTACACTGATTCCGGTGAGGAAGGTGATGGCGCCAAATTCGTTAAATGGCGCCAGCGCCTAGAACTAATGCGATATTCGTAACCAGGGTTATGGGCAGAGTTACAGAAAAAAAGTGATTCTTTTTTAGCTCTTGGGGAAGTAATAGTTGTGTATCGAAATTTCTAGTCATCTGTCGTGTAGCTTCTCAGTTCAGCAACGGTAGAAATGAGAGCTGTCACAGTCCGCAGGGAATTTTCTCCTTACCTTTCTTCTTTAATTTTGTTACTTATTCAAAATATAACACAATTCAGGACGACTGCAAGTCGAGTGAACATGGCAGTTCATCATCAGCTATTGATACGAATTCGCCCAGCAATACTTCACTGTAACGAAGTTACAAAGGAATTTCTACCTCTGTGCGGGTGTGTGCTATAAGCATCGAATGCCATGCTCTATCACATTTCTCTATGCCTTAACATCGCAGTTCTCTGCAAGCCTAGAAGTGCATTTGAGAACGTGTGAAATATGCTCCGATTACCGCATGTGTTTTTGTTTCAGATAAACGGACCGTTTGATTCTGTAAAAAGTCCCTTCACTCAATGTTTAGTCCGTGTGTGACGTACATTGTATTTTCTGCCTTCTTCATGGAGTTCTTCCTATTTTTCATAGTCTTATACTGTCATTTTTTAATTTATTCCTAATTTTGGTTTTGATTTCTTCTTATACCTTTGTACGCATTTTTCTTTTGTTTTTGGGTCGTCCCACTCAATTCTTCCATTTGGTATATCTATAACTTCGTCTAATCAATTGTTTGGTTCACTATTATTACAGTAACACTATCGTTACGTTCTCACACATGCAAAAGTGCTCGTTCATCGTGGCAAAGTATAGCAAGTAACCTACTTTGTAAAGGCATGTGATCGTAGTACTTCAACAGTTTTGTAAGGTTGGCTTTACTAGATAGAGTATTGCTTATCAGAACTGCAATGTCTGTCTGCTATATCTATCTTTCTATATCGTTCAGTCGTTATTGTCATCTTTGTAGTAGATATTTGTTTCATGTCACTGCTATAGGATTAGGTTAGGATCAAATTAGTCTCGGAGGAGTTATATTGTTTTGCAAGGGGATTATGCTCAGTCAAGTGACGTATAACTGGTTACTTCTCTTGTTAATGATAGAAGAGTAGTTATTATTTCATATTTTGAAGCATTTCACATATCAGATGGTTGCTGTTGTTTTTCTCTGGAAATGGAAGGTGTCCTATTTTTTCGGCGCGTTTGTTTCGTTTCTTTGTTTTCTATATGCATACATACACTATATACATTATACATCACTATTAATCTGTAAAAGCACCCACTTCTTTAATCACTCACTGCTTATACGCCATGAAGTCACATGTGAACTAGATTTCATCTCTTGTTCCACGCCCCTTCTGCTCATCATATTTAATGGGTTCTCCGCAGGAAGTTACCGCTATATTTTATGAAATAGGTGATGAAGCAGTGGCCTTTCATGAGCTGCAGTATACATCTTTTCCTTTTGTTTTGCGTTAGTGATTCAATTTCTGTTATTTGGCTCGCTCCCAACTAATGTAGAGTAGCATTAGTATGACGGCCGTTTAGTTATCATGACGCTACCGCGCTTTTATCTTTCGTGCAAACTACTCTTTGCTTTTACGGCGTACCTTTTCCCCAAAAGTGATCCAGGCGCAACCATAGAAAAACGCTCGTCTCTGCAATGCATTATAGTGAGATTTTGGAATGATGATGATCACTAGATAATTCATCTTTCGTTATTCTATCTGCTTGTCAATCAACTTTCAGTTGAGTGAAGTGCTTTCAGTCTGATCCCCACGTTCTCCTGTTTTTCTCCCTGAGAGGCATTCATGTGTTCTACATGGTCGGCCCGAAACTCGCGATCAACGCCAACCCATCAACGGCTTCTATCGAACTGACTGCGCGACCAATTCGCCGGCACCATTAGAGCTAGCAAATCGGGGTATGAACACGCCCAGGGTCGAGCATCATGTTGAGAAAAATAAGACCGTCGATACTACCCTACATAAAAAAGGGGTCCATAGAACCTCCCCCCCCCCACCCACCTGTACGCAGTTTCTTGGCATGGTTTGGGGGAAAAAAGGTGGCATGGCAAAAACATGGTTACTTGGAACGACTTATGTCAAATGCTTTTGTTTCAAATGCGCCGCATTTTACCGTTAGGGCGCGCTACCTTCCCCTTCTTACTTTACCACATCTGTGCCATGAAGATTATTCAATGGGTGTAGCTTCCTTGAAAACATCATTGCAAATCTGTAGATGGAATTCGTGGTATTTGAGGAACTTCCATCAGACAAATAGGTGGTCACTAAAGGGGTCTCACTGCTTCGCCTTAAAAATAATGACAAGAATTTTCAGAGGGCGCGAGATTGCAACCTTTCTGGGGCCACAAGTTTGGCACTACAGGACCCAGGACAAAACAAAAAAAAATTCGTCTCCTCCAAGGGCATAAAAATCTTCTGGCTTCCAGTAAAGTTCATGATAGAAAAAAATCCGCCTTTGAGGATTCTTCCCGGTGCAGGGGAACTACCCTGTGAGCGCAAATTGCCACCTCTAAGAAGCCTATGAAATTAATGTCATGATGCGCAGGGGTATCGATAAACGTCATGGGTTGCGGCTCCTTCTTGTCCAGGAAACAGTTCCCTGAGTCCGATAGAACGCTCTGTTTTTTGGAGCATCTGGAAGCATTTTCGCAATGGGATGCTTTGCGGGGCTACCGCTTCAGTTCCGCCAAGCTTTACCTGGTATCCCGCACACACCTTGTCAAGGTTCTATTGTGTACTGACTTTTTAAAATAACACCACGCCCTCCCAGCGTTGAGGATTCCTCAACGGTGCTTGACCCTGCCCAAATAGCGACCATCCTACCCTTTCCCACTTGGTGACTTCTTTTCTGTTCCTGGGACAAGTCTAGGCCGAGCGGTTTCTGCTTTCTCCGTGGTTCTCCTTCCCTTCCATCTTTGCTATCAAATGGCTATCATAGTGTAGTCCCGTTTCGTAAATTGTTTCCCGAATTGTCGTTATGTTCGGCAATAGGAATCATAATGATTTCAAACGTCCTAGTTATGTTGAGCTGGTAGTCCAGTGTTGTGCTACTTTTTTCTTTTATCGATTAGTTTCTCTCAAACATTGTTTTTTCTTACTGTCGTTATTTGATTTGATATGAAAAAACTGATCCGTGTTACGACGAAGATGAACATTTGACAAGAGTCCACTATGCTTGGACGTGCTGGGGCCCACCCACAATGGGCGGGGCGTGCATTTGACCACGAGGTACCAGTTGAAAAAATTATATTTCGGGTCTAAAGCACTACAGAAGGCGCAAAAGTGAATTATGGTCTCCAAATGATCACAGGGAATGTCTATTTCAAGTCTAGAAAACACTCAAACGCGAAATGGGTGCCATATTCGTGTCCAGGGAGCAAAAGTACCCTTGGGGACAGGTTTCTAGCCAGATGTGAGGTTTTGACCTAACTTTGAAAAGTGCGGTAGCAGTTGATCGAATAGAGGTCACCAATAGTTCCAGGGCCAGTCTCTTGTCGATTGCTTGTCTTTGGACAGAATTTGCTTTTAGATACCAGGAAAACTGGAGCAGTAACAACATGAATGCGTAGGAAGAGGGGAGACGAGGCCTTGTGCAGGAGAATGTATCTGCAGCTGAATTGGTGTTAACATCAATTGAACTGATCCATGGATGCTTCACTTTCCGAATTCGGGTCAAAATGCCAGATTTGGCTAGAAACCTCTACCTAGGCGTAGTTCTCCCCGATAAACTCGAACATGGCACTCGCTCAGCGCGAAAACGCCCAAACTCCGCGCTATGGGAACCTGTACATTTCCTAGATCATAAGGCACTAAGCGCGCCAGTAAGCGAACACAAACTGTTCTTCAGGCAAGTCGAGGAGAACGCTAATGTAGTAATGTCGCTGCAACCACTTTTTGCCACGTTTGTAAAGAAGCAAAAAAGTTAAGCTCAGCAGGGATCCGATCCCATGACCTGTTGCGTGGTAAACGCGGTAGAAAAAGCTCTATAGCTCCCTTCAGAAAATCGTTGCGCAAATTTCAAAGGCAGTTTCGAGATCAGCGTCTAAAACCACGTCTAGTGAGCTACATCTCATTACAAATGGCCACTTCGACCTGACGACCATCCCTAGTTAGCCTTAAATGCTAGTAGGGGGCTATATAGTGGGGAAATGGCGAAAGAACGGAGTGAAACGGTCAAAATCCGGCGAAGAAAAAGCCTCCCTTTCAGTGACTTGCAAATCGATTTCGGACGAGTTTCCCGTATGCACTTTACCAATCACCGCTACCGAAGGTACGGCTGCATATGTCTACCCATGTATGCATGCAGCATCACCGCCGCTTCATACCAATCCCTTTGCTTCATAATTTGCTCAGCAAAAGAATGAATACGAGCGTCAGAAACGGTCGTCCGTTTGTGGGCGGGCGGACAAGGAAGGCGTTTGGGGAGTAAAGTTGTTGCTCAATAGGGCGTTATAGAGGCGCCCTCCTTGGAAAAGGTTTCACGCAGCGCCTGTCCGAGGTCACGGAATTCTGTTGAGCCATTTGTACACATCCTAACGGCCTGTATAGCGATTTATCGTGCCAACTGCCTTTAAATGAGATTGTGTTCGTTTCAGTTCCCAGCCATGCTCTTCTAGGACCTGCATTGTTATAACCGCTAGATTTCGTTAATTGCATAAGTAGAGTGATTCCACGGTCATAATGCTTTCTGGACAGCATACTCTCAGAGACTGTAGTTCCGTGCTCTTGAAGTACGATGCACTATCTTGTTGAAAAAATAGCGAAATATCCGTCAACATGGTAAAAGCCAGTGCGCGTTTCCATACGGTACTAGATTTTGTCGCGCGCGACGTCGCATGGCCCCAGTGCCACATGCCCGTCCAGCATTGTACGCGGGTACAACATGATACTGCCATTTCGAGACAAGACACTTCCTATAAATGCTGCATAGGAAAACTAGGCGCAAGTGTGCTTGAGTGGAGACATTTATTTCTGTCAACATACCGCATTTTATTACGTTAATAACATTTTCATTTTCTTCCCGCGGATTTCCATTTCCTAGCATGACCTCATAGAATCAGATTCTTCTTTCGACAGAATATCATTTTTTGACAGAAAATTTAATACACAGTGAACACAAAGAAATCGCATACAACGCGGCTTCGAATAAATCATAAGTGATTAAGCCCTGTTGATGACTAGGCGATTACGATGGCAAGCAAGCAAATTACGAAACAACAAATACTTTTCATACAACACTGACCAGCGCTCACAAAGGAATGGTTTCAACTTTGCATAGACTTTTGAAGGAAGACCTAGGTACATCAGTAGAGTTTAGAATGCTGATAGCTAGTATGCAGATTCAATGCCAAGGGATCTCCCAAACGAGTTTGCGTGGTCAAAATATGCTCCACAAGCAGTGTCAGCATGTAAGCACAGCTGAGCGGTGGACTGCTAGTGTCTCCGTGACCTGTTGGTAATGCTGTTGCTTCAAAGCCAGGATTGCGTGCGTTTGCTCCCCGTTGGTGCGGACTTTTGCTATTGTCTTCAACGGCCGCTTTCACACCGATTTTTGAAATTCGTCCAAGTTAAGAGCGAGTAGGTCAAGAATCTAACGTGGCAGAACAAATATAGGTTTGGTCACAATCCTTCCCTTACGACACTTGCTACCCATCCGACAAATCGAATTTCAGCCAGAATCTCAACCTGGCCAGAAAGTTGTTCACGGAGGTAGCTTGACCATTGAATAGAAATTTAATGTCCGTTTGATGCGGAAATGATTGGTTTCTCAAACGACCCTCAAAGGTGCTGACGACAAAAACTTGAAAAGTGCCTTGTGCTGTTGTTTCCAAGGCGAGTTTAAACCCAAGCAGGTATAATATTTACTCCCTGGAATTAAACCACCCCGGAAACGAAATTTTAGCGAATTCGATGATTTATCATGGCTTGAAGCCAGCGCCTGTCCGGCGTGGCGCAGGCAAAAGATGTTCCCCGTCAAAGGGATGATATTCGTTTTAATCTCCCACGTCAGATACCAGACCAACTCGCTCTGCTGGGTCGTTATCTCGGAGTAATTCCAAAAAATGGAGGAAAGCAGCCATTGGGAACAATAGTTAAAACTATGTCACTAACGGGGAGCGAACCGAGCTTCTGACCCCGGAGCGAGACCATTACCACTAGGCCGCGGTGGCACTCAATCCACCGGTGTGCAATGCTTACACCCTGAAACTGATTTTACAGCATCCTTTGACCACGCAGAACCCGCCTCATCCCCGTAGCACTTCTGCATATTCACAATCAGCACTCGAGGGTTTACCGATGTACCCAAGTCTCCATTCAAAGTTCCATGGGAAGCTGAAAACATTCCCTGTTAGAAAGTCAACTGCAAAAATGCACCGCTCCTTGTTTTACCTTTGTTCGAGTGTAAGCATGTCAGGAATAAAATGTGTAACTAGTACAACATTTCAATGAGATCTGAGCAAAAACCACTTTTGTGACGATACTGACGGAATGCTAACTTTTCCGTAATTCCTTACAGCTGTTCTAACCACAGGGGCCGGGCCGACAGACTGATGCGAAGCAAAGCTGTGTATGCAACAAAACTACCTCGGAGAAAAAAATCGCACCTACAGAAACTATCTATTATGCTGGAAGTTATGCAGTAAAAATGTTCAACAGGTATTCACGGAAGCTGACTACCTGAACAAAAAACACTAATCAAGATGATAGAAAGTTACTGATGAGTTAATTTACGCGTATTAGAAAAAAAAGCAGAAAAGAACAGCACAGCCTAAGCTCGTATCTGGTTACCTCCAAAGCGTATAATATTAATAAATAGTAACGAACCACTACAGAAATTGGCAGTGTTTACATGAAACGCTGAGACTTATTATTCTCTGAGAACAATTTCAATTTTCTCCTTCCACGTTTCGGCCACAAACCGATTTTCAGCTAGCAATGAATAGACACGCTTCTTTGTACGCAGCTAAACAGCAAAGTTAGTTCATTACCGTTATTATTACACGTAAAATACTGTAAACACACACTGTAATCTCAAATGATTCAGCAAACAACGCTCATAATTTAGCATCATGGGATCTGCGCTACGAACCATAACGAACGCCACTTGCAAAATTAAGCTAAAGCTCTAACTAGTAAGCTCAGAAGCTAGCGCGATTTCTTGGAACAACAACATGCACCGGATGACTTGTTCGCATCGTTGTTGGGGAATCCCCAACGGGGTCGCATTTGGCCGCCAGGAGAGGGGGAGGGGGTGGTATTTACGTTTTGGCGCTGTAGGAGCGGTGGTTGACTTTTTGTGGTTTTCATGTTCCGTGCTTACTATATACCCCCCCCCCTCTGCTCAACAGCAAAATTTTTGGGGAAAAGTAGAAAATTTTTCGAGAAACTTTGGAAAAAAGGCAGGAATTTGGGGAAAATCTGCATATTGGTAGAAGCGGGGGGGGGGTGTCGTTTTATCTCGCGGCTTTTCCAGTTTCACATGTGCCATTTACCCCACCCACCCCTCTCCCGCTCGACGGCTCGATTCGATGAAGAGGGATAGAGGACCGGAGGGGGGTCGTACAGACTCGAATAAAATCCCCAACCAATGATGTGCCCTGCCCGTTCGTCTCGCACGAAGAGTAGGGAGTGGAATCCTGGATGGACACCCGCCAAGGTCAACCGAGCCTCTCCTCTGATAGCGGGTTAAGTAGTACCAGATGATATGTAGTAATGAAAGAAACTTTCACATCGGCTGGGCCCGCCAACGTCATTGTGTAGGCTACATCGCTGTAGGAGCGGTGGTTGACTTTTTGTGATTTTCATGTTTCATGCTTACTATATACCCCCCTCTGCTCAACAGCAAAATTTCATGCCACTATGATGCCGCATAAGAATAGACTGTGTACCGCATCCCAAAAAAATGGGTTGGTCAGCGCCGAAAGCCTTACTTCACGTAGTGGGTGGCAAGGAAATGTTAAAATTAGCTCTCTACCGGCATCATAAACCAAGATTTGGCACATTTACCCTTTACCATTCCACACTTCAAGATCTAGGACAGCTTCTGAACGAAATTTTCTTCTAAGTTCTCTCTAAAACTCAAAACTCCACAGGAGTAGTTTGACTACCCGAACAGAAGATTATATTCTTCGAGGCGCAAGTATCCCGTGATTGCACTACTGGCGCTAGTGCCTTAGGCGGCACTCTAACTGCCTTACCAGGTGTTTCACGCCAAGCTAGCGTGATGTTCGTGTTCAAAGGGTAGTAGCCCTCCTGGGATTTTGAAAAGTCGATGTTTCGAGGTATTCTGGCGCCGGCGGCTGTGGAGTGGACGTCAGGCGGTTTTGAGATAGGTGGACGTGATATGTGTGTTCAAGAGGTTAATCCAGACCCGGGCGAAATTCCAGACAAATCTACTCCAGGGAAATTTTGATCCAAATCTGGCCAGAACTTAAAAGAGTGGAGCACAGTACACTGTGGAAGTGTTGCCAAATAGCACCTCTCTTCGAGTTTCCTCCTCTGGAATAACTTTTCCTTACCAATAAGCACTTTCCCTTTCCAAGGAAAATCAAATCAACAAACACAAAAATCTTTGGTAAATACGACTGTCGCTCCATTGACCAAACACGACCTTCCCACCCGCGGTGTTTTACAGCACCTGTGGTATGCCCCTATGATACAATGAATGGGAAATACTACCCACGTGGATAAGCCTGTTGCGTTCCGCATTCGACCCCCATCTCAACTATGGAAAACCACTAATCAATGCATTACCGCCACCGTTGAAAATTCCAAGCAAATGTTCTGAGAAATATGGGAGAAAATGCAAGTAAATATTTGTAAATCATTAATTGAAAGCAATAGCTTGATAACCAACCTCAAGAATGGCTCTGTTGTTCCCATTATTTTCGACTTCTACGCTACCCACATCACACAAGTCGATGTAACCGCGACACTCCAAATCATGTTCAGATTCGTAGTAATACATCTACATAAAACATCGTCAAATTTCTTATGAACGGGTTTAAATTCATGAAAGTTAATTTGGGGATTCGAAACTTCCAAGGCAGAAAAGATGAACATTGAACGCCGCATGCATTGCCACCAACGCACGCGGTTACTCGTCTAGCGTTTTTGTTCGTTGATTCCATAATAGTTCCATGAATTGTCATTAGAAGACAAACACGTTGATTATCATCTACCCTAGAATCTGACAGAAAAGTCCGCGCGATATCGCGACCGCCGCGCGCGCGAACACTGAATGGAACGCCGTAGCTCGGAATCGATGGTGTTTTTCAGGAAAAAAATGTGGCAAGGACATCTTTAGATGATCTGAGCGTAAAAAGTAATGGTTGTAGATAAAGAATGATGTTCGAGGAAATTACGAGATTAGATGGCAAAAGTTTCAAGCAAACAACAAGAGGAGGTTCCTCTACTTTATGAGACTCTCTTAGGCTTACCTTGCGGAAGCTCCACTAGAGTTTCGAGTGTCCGGCACCGTCAACGTCTGGGAAGTACAGGTATCGATCTAGCGTCTACCAGCGTCCGGGAGAGGAGATGTGGCGCGACAGGAGGGTAGCAGACTGTTGGCAGAGTATGACGCGATAGGAGATTACCACCTGTCTGCTAACCTTCTAAGGCAGATGCACGCTGGCAGACGTTAGATTGATACCAACAGTTCCCAGGCCCTCAAGACGCTGCTTGACGCTGGCGAACGCAGGTGTATGCTGGTCCACGCTGGCAGACGCTAAATCGATATTAATACTTTACCAGCTGCTGACGCTCCCGGACGCTCAAAACGCTAGTGAGCGCTGTCGCAGTGAATGAACGCAGTCTCATCAGGGAAGTCACTCAGGTCATGACGCGCTTTTAGAAATAGTTTGTTGCTTGTTGAAGGAGACCATACGTGGACCACATGGATAAGCCTTCATTTTGCTATACTTTTATTTTAGCGAAAATGAAGCATGTTTATAAAGTCTGCGTTCGGTCCCCTACAATATGCAACATTTCAATTCTAAAAAGCACTCCACGACTTGAATAACCTCCCTTGTTATAAGAGAGGCTATAGAAGGACTTTAGTGTTGCAAAAGTGGTCGATTCCAATAGAAGGATTTAGAATTTGATAGAAGATTTCTGTTTTACTGATTGTCTTGCCTAAAGTGTAGCAAAGTATGACCGCAACTCGATGTAGCATCCCGTTTTCATCCGACTGTTTTTACATCAATTTCGTCTTGCTAACGGGCGAACCATGTTAAGATTAATTCGAGGCAATTCCATATGCCACCGTTGCCCTTGAAATTATCAAACTGAAAGCAGTTCTAAAACTGTTATGAGCTTTTTAACATAGAATTCCTTGTTGCTGTTTGTTCCAAGCTTCTCGAATCCGAACCCTTCTTCTCCTCCCCCAACTCTCATCTAACCTCCATTGTCTTTTTTTTATTTTCACATCTAGAAATGCCCTTTCCAAATTACGTTTTCTGAAATAGCAATTGGCTCCAACTTGGAGAGTCCCGTCAAATATTCGCTCGCACGGCGATCGCGATGTCGGGAGGGCTTATCTGATGTCGGACTTATCTACCGACCTTTAGGGTAACTGTATTCACTCAAACTCACTTTATGACTATTGGCTTCGAGTTCGAACCATCGTGGAGCCCAGAGTTTGAATTTGGCACCTTTCTTGCTCAGATAACCTTGATAGAGAGGAGCTGCTGCACGTGAAGGAGTTGTAGCTTCGTGACCAGCTGTTAGCGTTCGGCCGCCATTTCCTGAACATTATGCCATTTCCTGACAGTCAGGACAAATACTCCTATACCTATGGACACATCTCATATGTATGGATAAGCAATGTCATGTAATTTTGCCAGCAAACATAAAAATAGTACACTAAAAATGGTTCAACTGCAGAGGACGAATCCAGGGTCGAAGTAATCCTACACTTTTGCAAAACGACACGATATACTCCAAACACTGAATTCGACAGCTTGGCGGAAACTAAGAAGAATACGAGTAACATTACCCATCTATTTAATTCTAGTTACTTATTCCCAGACACTCAAGGTGTGCTCAAACACACTGAAATAAATAAATAAATAATAATAATAAATAAATAAAATAAATGTATATATAATATATATTATAATATATATAATATTATACTATATAATACATATATATATATCTATATATATATATATATATATATATATACTATATACATCTATCCTTGCCACTGAATAGTCGAGCGTCCGCGAGAAGTGCACCTGTTTGAAGCTCTCAACCTTTCGTTAAACGCGTATCGATGCAAAAGTGATAGAAAACGAGTAACACGAAAGATATGATACATAATGTCTACTTCTGTCAACGATTCGTGCAGTACCGCGGGGGCGACCCCCCCCGCAGCCGCATGACATACTATCAAGCAAGATACGATGATATATATATATCCACTTTTCATTTAAATCGAACATTTTCAACCTCAAAATCGTGAACACTTTTCAAACCAATTCGGACACTATTTGAATCAAATCTGACACACCCCTTACAATGGGCAGTTGAGAACGAGACTACACTAGGTACTGCTGCAAGCTGGGCCCCAACATCCCCGCCCACTTCCTAGCGCGGTCCCGCTTCTCCAAAATGTTTTATGAATTCTGCTTCATCGAATTTTTTTAACTTTTGCTATCTGACACACATACTCCAACTGAATTGGTTTGGAACCGACACATATATGACTCCGCCCACGTTCAATGATATTACGCAAGTTTTGGATTTTTATAACTTTTTTCGACGTTGATCTTTTCATTGAATCTTCAAAAAACGAATCTGCTCATAGCCATGCATATGCGCAGTCGCACATCAAGCACCGCCCCTCTAACCACGCCTCCTTTGGGGTTTTTCGCGGAATATTGATTTTCTTTCCGAATTTTTACTGGCTGTAAACGGTGGCTCCGCCCACTAATAGAAGCTCCGTCCGCTTAGTAGAAGCTCCGCCGACTTTTGAAAAATAATGCATGTCGGCAGGCTACTTACTGGCAGGTTATGGCCTCTCGCTTCGCTCGGAACGAAGTTCTCCTTTGTTCCGTTCTGTGTGACAGGAGAGGTGATAACCTGCCAGTACGGACTCGTTTGATAGAAAAGCCGAAACCATATGGGCCCATATGTTGAAAACATGGCCATGAAGCGATGTCTCTTGGAGGCACAAAAAGTTTAAAGGCAAACTTTACACTCATCCCCGAGGATCCTGGTCCTTGCCAAATATCACACCCTCGCAGACTGCTCTGCACTTTTGAGCAGAGAAAGTGGCAAATTGCTGGAGCTGCGGTCTCATTCACTTCGCATATCAGGAATGGTCCTCAGTGGTGGATGACAGTTTGTCCCTTACAAAGAAAACCAAGCCGATTGTTTTAAATAACAGGAAATTCTTCAGACGACATAGTACATATTGAGGAAAAATTTTCACACGTAATGAACGTGTGAAGCACACTGGCGATAAGCGTATAAAAACGTGTCCGATAGGATATATCTCATTGGGAATGCCCTCTTCGATCTAGCATCATTCCCTGATTACGGCTCTTTTGAATATATTGAAGTGTTTCTCACCTTCAGCCAAGTCACTGAGCAGAGTTTCGCTGCGTGTCGTCGTTTCTCGACCCTCAACTGTTGCCGTTCGCAGTGGAACTGGCGGCAAAGACGTCTCTTGAGTAGTTGGACGAACCCCTGCTCGTGGATCACACGGCCAGAGATTTACTATACATTGTCATGGGCTATGACACCACACTGACGACATCGTTGGCCTGAACAGGTATTCTTTCATTGCTTCATCATGCAACACGTGTTCGTAGGTGACACAACACATCTGCTCAGGAGCTGGTCACGAACGAAAAAAAAAACCAACTGATCGTGCTATAGAGACAAGGAGTCTCCCAAAAGTACACTCGGGAACAAAAATTCCAGGGGGCAGAAGGATCACAATGGACGTAGCTACAGAGGAGAACAAGTTTGGTTGCAAAGCAGAGTCAAACAGAAGTGCGAGGGCAATTCAGATCAAATTAATCACCATTTCTGACAAACATATGCCCCTCAAGGTTAAACGAACACTGCTTGATTCTGAACAAAGGGTCATCCCCCTAAGATACTAGTAGGGGCGATTCTCAAGCAAGAGACTGTACACATTCAAATCCCCATTCTTTTGAGTACAATTAGCGCGTAAACCGAGAGCTTCCGTGCGGTGAACACCTCTCACGAAACGAAAGATATGAGGAACGATCACAGTCACAAGGTCACTTTGTCACATTCAAATTCATTAAATGTATGGGTAGTGTCATATAGACTTTTTGATTCGACATACCTGTTCGCACTACAGTGCCATAGAGCGGAAAATGACAGAGCACACATTCTGACGGTTGTCCACCGCTGGCTCCGTAATGTTCGAAAACGTGGTTTTTGCTAACACTAAAAAACATCCTCTATAATTGTGAATTTTAAGCTATATTGTTTCTGCTAATACTAAAAGGATAGGGTCCTAGTCGTTGATCAACCTTATATCAGCCCCTTTTGGGGAGCGGCATGCATAATGTTCCCATTCGGTGAATTCGTAAAAACCCCAAATGTCAAACCAAAGTAGCAGCCGCTGGCACTTTCAAAGAATGTACGCACCCGGGTCTACCGCATCTCGATCTGGAGTGTGCATATCACCTGTGCTCCCGTTGATCATCGGGATGCTCGAGCAGGCGTAAGTAACATCTCCTTTCAACCCTACAACGCGAGGGCTGCGCAATGAGTTCTCTGTGCCCCAGAGACAGATGAATTTCATACTATTCGCTCAGAGCTTTCACGAAGTCTAACCATCGCCTAGGCGGTCAATGATGATCATAGTGTGGAATACCGCTCGCTCTCGCTCCGGTCCAGCGCATTCTCGAAACGTATGATGCGCCCGAACGACCTGAACTTCGGAACCTTGGCAAATGCAGCCCATTCCTCAGCCATCATCAGAGTGCGTAGCTCCGAATTGATAGCATCGCTTGCGTATACCGAGAAACTCCGAACATCGCTCTTTCAAGATCGCGTCATATGACGCTGACTTAATTTTCATCATGCTCTCGTAGGTTCCAAGTCTCAGAGGCGTAAGTAACGGCAGAGCCAACTTAACTTCGTTCACACGTTACTTTCGCACATGACGCAAAAACGTTTGTGAACCACGAGACCGCTCTTTTTAGTTCATTAAACTCATGTTACAATTATTCATCTGGAATGTAAGCATAACAAGTTGTTCCGCTGCTTTGGGTCGCCCGTACTTCACCATCCCCCCCTCCTCCCCCCCCTCCCCACCCCTTTACCTTATTTTCTGCCTCGTACTCACCTCGTCACAACTTCGTTGGTTACTGACTCCCCTGAATACGACCTTTATTTCAGCGAGCCAAATGCGACCCCTCTATTGAGGACCGGTCAATGGACGCTCGACTCGGACCGCATTGCCGGGAACGCCGAAGAGCACTGCAGTGCGTGGGCGGCAAAACCTTCCTACCCTCCCATTCTCCCAACTCTCCCAAGGCGTAGCGGGCGACGCCAATCGATACGCGTCTGTGCCTGTGTCCCCGTCTATAGCACTGGGGCGCTGCTGCATAGCGTGCCGACGCGCGATATCGCGAAGTCTGAACGCTGCCTAACTGATATAAACTAGGAGGATTAAAGATTTGAACCCATCTGAACATACTTCTTTTGATTCGTCGATGATCGACCCTTCACTCCTCGAAGCAGCACACGCAACGCCGCTCTTTTCGAGAGCACCCGTCTCAACTGCCAGTCCCAGTCGTGAGGTTTCCCTTCTTTGTCATCCTGCTAAAAAATTACTCTCCTAGAATCTCTTTCGAGCTCAACATACACTATGTAAGGTAACCACCTCGTCTTCAGTTGAGATGCGCTCTTCAGCAATCTGCCACGTGTTTGACCATCCACCCATGCGTGGTTTTTCGAGGGGACTGAGACGATCGTTTGCCTGTAGCTCCGTTCGACATTAGGCAATGTTGATTAAAATTAAACATTTCTTACTTGTAAGAGGGATGAGATTCCATCCTCTCTTTTAAGATCCTGGCACACGATCGAGCCGTCAACGATACGAGATGACGTCCCGCCTGTGGTTATTCCTTCGGAGCAGGAGAAATGCTCGTCATCCCGTTCCACCAGCTCCGCTTCGGCGAGGTCTGAATGATAAAAGCATCTCAAGCAAGAAGCCCTCAAAAGTCATTCCGTTATCGTAATCATCTTACCTTTGGATAGTAAGGTGTTTAAGGTTGTGTCTGAAGTGCGCGACCTTAGATCTCTCCATCCCTTTATGACAGAACGCTTAGTTTTCCTAACCGTTATGAATCATCAGAGGTGAAAGCTTCTCGTAGGATTTTCAACGTTTTCAGAAATTTTGGGAGTATAAACGCTAATATTTTCTTGTGACTCTTAAAGACAGCCCCCGCTCTGAAGCAGTACATGGCCGTCCTTCCATGGGCAGGTAGTTCAGCCCCCTTCTGCCTCACTCTTGCGACTCCTCAGCGAGCGGGGAGCGAGCGAGATAGCAACCGCCTCAAAGTTCTAGTTCTAAACGTCCTGCCTCAGTTGGATCGCCTCACTAGCTAGCTGCCCTCTGACGCGAAGGCGCTCGGTTGTGTTCCTTGTTGGGACGGCAGTCATTAATCGGAACTGCATGCATTTTTTGCTAGCGCGCTCGTGCTCGTAAATAATTCTACTCTCCATCACATTTTATTCACTGGGAGCACCTACAGTCAACAGCAACCCATCTCGTAAGGTAAAACGCGTAGAAATCACGAATGATGCAATTTCTGTGGTGCAAAAGCTCGACGCACTTCACTACACTAAAACATGCTCGCTACCGTAACCCTAAGCTCGAACGCCGGCTTTTTAGATGTTTCCTTTTCTTTTCAAAAGTTTTTCTCTATGTTTCTGTTGTTTTTTGTTTTCTTTTCTTCTCATTCGATGAAATCCACTACTGGGAGATGTGACAAAGTGATTTGTGAGCCAGGGCTTGCACATAGACCGCAGGGAGGTGTGACTGTGAGGGCGCGATCTTGTTTATAGTGTTCTTGAGGGCTCTTGTTTCTTTTTTCTTCCAGTGAGAATTACTTATCAGCTACTGCTTCATAATTGACCAGCAATTATCCTTGACACTTTCATCGCCGGAGCTGTCTTTAATACGTTGACGACAGTACGAGCTACCGTGCTCATGGGCGAGTGACCTCATGAAAGACTATGACCCAACGGTGGCTCATAACCTTCGGCCACTTTTCGATTTTTTGGAGTTGGTTTCCATTGATGTTTCTTTCTGTTTTTTAATCTACTAAGGAGAGTGAATGTCCGGCTGAGATAAGCAGGAGAGTGTTTTTGTTTGGTGAGATATTGTGAACTGAAAAATCGTAACTCTCCAGCGAACTACAGCGCTAATAGCTAATAGCACTGGAGGATGGCATGGACCTAAAGGGTTTTAATGGCCTACCCATTCAGCTGGCGCCGGATTTCTTCCAAATTTTCTTTTTTTGAATGTAGTAAAGCCTCCACAATCGCCTATCGGATCATCGGACACATTTGAGTAAAGCGTTTGAGCATTCGAGCGCGTACCTAACAATGAGGTCCGGCCTTCTGTGAGCGACAAGGGAGGAGGGTTTGTGGTCTCACTTCTACACTTTATACCGCAAGATCACTGAACTCCGTCTTGGTGATAGTTCCATTACTTCACCGTCGCAGAGAGCGTTCCTCACTCAATGCTACAGGTTGTACACTAAGTGGATCCCAACAGAAAGGTTCACTGAACAAGACGATCTTTATTTAAAAGGCTGAAGTCTGATAGTCCCTCATGTCCCATGTTTTACGGCTTGATCAAGACTCACAAGCTGTCTAGCGATGATGAAAGATGTCAACTGTTACAAAATTCGAGGTATCGTAAGCTGTGTCGGGGGGCCAACAGAGCACATCTCGTGGTATCTGACCAGAATTATTGGCCTACTCCTACGATATGTACCATTACACTTGGCGAGCACCGGAGAGTTTCTAAATCGCTTATCCTCATGTAAGCTTTGAAGACAGCTCCCGCGCTTAAGTAGTACATGGTCATCCTTCCTTGTGCAAGGTGCAGCCCCCAAGATAGAAACCGTCCCACTCTCGCGACTCCACAGCGAGCGAGGAGCAAGCTACAGCCGCTCAAAGTTCTAGTTCTAACGCCCGCTCAGTTGGACCGTCTCACCTGCTAGTTGCCCTCCGACGGAGGGCCGCTCTGTTGTTCTTTGTTGGGGTGGCGGCCATTAATCGGCGTTCATGTCCTTTTCGCTGACCACGCTCGTGCCCATGAATTATTCTGCTTTCCTTTATTACATTTTATTCATTAGCAGTACATACAGTCAACTCCATTCTATCTCGCAAAGTAAAACGTAATCACGAGCGACTCAATTTTCGTGGTGCAGAAGTTCGACGCACTAAACACACTAAAAGATGTACCGTAACCCTTAATTCGGACGCCGACTTCTTAAACGTTTGTTTTTCTTTTCAAAAGTTTTTCTTCCGTGTTTTTGTTGTTTTCCGTATTCTTTTTTTGCACTGAATGATATCCGTTACTGGGAGATGTGATAAAGAGATTTGTGAGCCAGGGGTTGCACAATAACCGCAGGGCTGTGTGACTGACACGGAGCGATCTTGTTTATTGTGTTCTTGAGAACTCTTCTTGCTTTTTCTCTTCTTTGGAGAATTACTTACCAACTACTGCTTCGTAATTCAAAAGCAACTATCCATAACACTTTTATCGCGGGAGCTGCCTTTGAGAAAACAATGTGAATGAGCTCTTCACCTCTTTCTGTGATGCTAGACGAAGCACATTAGCGAAACTGTAACGTTCGGGCTCAACGAAGTACACATAATAAATGTGTCTACTGCAATATACTTGAGCGTAATGGGCAATAATTCTCTTCTGCGTCATGAGTAATGTAGAGGAGCCAAATATAACCATGGTCTGCCGCTTATTGTATTAGTACATGGACGACTGCTTGCGTCCAATACCAGCGAGTACGGGAAAGGCGACGAACTATTCAAATGTCTTGCATGCGGAATCACAAATATATCAAGTTCAGAGGCGATGCCACCCAACAGCGATAATTGGGCTCCCATTGCCTTGAATGCACACTCCAGAATAATATCTGCTGGGGACTGTAACGTCAAGCTGGTGTCGGTCAAACAACGACTGACGTTTACTACGTCGCAGCACCTGCAGCTCCTCCATGAACAAGTCTGCTATCATGTTGTAGGCTTTGAAAGAAAGCTGTTCGTTCGGATAAGATTGTATCGACAGCTACCGGATTTGTCTACAGCGAGAGAGTCACGAAGACAGCATCCGACGATCGCAGCGATTAGAATGAGGTACGTGAAAACACGGGAGATAGAGTTAACAGTGAGCATCCTCAAATGAACAGCGAAATATGTGCTAATCTTGATTCTACCTTTCATACCGGGTAAAGTGAGCGCAGCTATCCGTCAGTGTCTGGTACGAGCGGACCTATCTAATGGAGTAGTACTGAAAATATACATTAGGAGAAAACATTGAGCATCGATTGGTCCGGAACAGACTCGATGAGCGTATATGCACCGCAGAGAACTGCGTGATTTGTCCACATGGAAGAGATCGAGATTGTGCACAGCACGGGGTAGTCTACCACCTTCAATGCGAAGCTTGTGAAGAATTTCATAGTGGTGAGACGAGTAGAATGCTTGGTCTTCGTGTTAATGAACACCTTGCAGGTAAAAGGCCGGTCCTTCAGAAGACGTTCCTCCGTCGTCAGCGCCACCACCGTAGGTGGTCCATCGTCATCGAGAGGAAGGACTCCATCGACGTCGTCTCCACTGGCCTTTACATGTGCTATTCATCCTAACCCTGTATTCATCTGTTGTTATTCTGTTTCACTAAAAAATGACTCTGGCACTTGTGTTCACCACAGGTGTCTGTGACATACATCGGGGTCTCACATTACATGAAGACCAAGCCAAATCACATATCCATCTGAGGGTGATTACAGTACCCTTTATAGAAGCACTGAGACGCCGAATAATGAGAAATTCGCAGCGCTGTCCTACGGTGTTTTGATGTGACGCGCCGAAAAGAGAGAAAGGCGCTTGCTACAATGTAGTCAAATCTGACTGCAGGTACAGAGCAGAAGGTGCGGAAGGCCTGCAGATGGCTAGGTCAATGGCCAAGGAGACGGATAGCACCGAAGCAAATGAGGTGAGTACCGTCGTTAAGAGAGAGGGGAAAAGAGTCAGTTACTGTGCCGTGGGAGGAGATAGGAAAAGCGATTGAGGCTGCGAAAGAGGTAAGCCAAAGGATCAAAAGTGATCTAGAGGGGATTCGAGTCGCGGCAAAACACAAGGAGGGTCTAGAGAGATCAGTGGCGGATCACATTGAAAAGGCGTGTGAGGCGCTAGAGACAGTAAGGGAAGGCGCGGAGACACACTTGAGTTTTGGTACAGCATTAACTACAGGAGAGGGGAATAAAGGAGACAGATGACTTGAACGACTTGCTGAGAGTGGTAGAGAGAGAGAGCTACTGGCAGAAATCTGCAGCATACTAAACACAGATGTATTACAGGTTCGGGACATCGCCGGAGAGATCTTGGAACTGCAAGAAAGACCTGTAAAGGAAATGAAGAAAAGTTTAGGCTATGCGTCAGATGACGGAGTGGATGGTAAGGAAGCGGACAGTGGAACAATCAATGGCGACCATCCCCCACTCAAGAAAACTGTTATTTCGTCAACCCTGGAACTCATCAGTGAGGTGAAGCTAAGGAAAGAGTGCCACAAGTAGACGCTCATTCATAATGCATGATGAGAAAAGAACGGTAGAAGAGAGAACTGGAAGCCACGTAAAAGTCGTTGGAAGAAGTGTCTTCCAACAACTTCCACGTGGCGTCAACTAACCACTGAAAAACGAAAAAAATTCATTTTCTCGTTTACATTTTCTCGTTTTTCTCGTACCGTATGGATACTTCTTTCTAAGGGAGGTGGGAGCAACGACTCGATTCCTCTCGATGCAGTGTCGGACTATAGCTGCGGAAACTGTAGCGCAAATAATCACCTACCAATATCATACGGCGAGCCGTGGCTGAGCGTCTCCTCCGAGTAGAAACCCCATGTTCGAAGTACTGCCACTGAACTAGCCGGAATCAAAACCCGTTCACCTTCGGGCGAATATAGAAGGTTATGGAAAATTGTATTACGACACGTTTTCTCCTAAATACGGAAGTACTGTTAGGTTCAGATTATTTTGCAGATATATATTCTACCTTGATGTACGTCCACATGCATCCCCGATGTCCTTCTCCCGTCTCCGGGACGAGATGTTCAAGATGAATGCGCTCGCTTTCGGAATCCATCACAAACGTACGGAAGAACGCTGATTGACTATGATAGGCAAGAAACCGCAGGTAGAAGTCGTTGAATTCGAATGCATCATGGAACTGAGTAGCAATCTGGAAATGTAAGGGCGTACCGTAAAGTGAAAAAACCTTCAGAGGTCTTGCTTCACCATCAAATATCCTTACCTGATGAACTGCATCCAGAAACACTAGAAAAACCGGTGTTATACCACTATTCTGTGAAGAAATCGTGTAGTTTGCACGATGCGAAAAGCGGTGACCAAAGGCCAACCATTCTTTTTCTATGAGTATCTAGATTGCTTCATATTTACGGGTATAAAATAATAGTAAGCTGACACAAAAAAGCTAAAAACTGAATTTTAACCTGGAAGCCTTCTATAGTACGGTAGTAGGGGTCGAGCAACAGCTGGGCCAGTGACATCAGTTGGCATGTGGTGTCCCATCCTTCCTCAATGCAGATCGCAACCTGAACAACTATTGCCAATTCTAAGATCGATCTCCAGAGCAAATGGGAAATTGCAGGCATTGCATACGTAAAAAAAGCGAAAAAAGAACGAAAAAATAAACCGAGGACATTTGAGAAATGTACCGATGAGTTATGAAGGGTGATGACACTAGCTATCGAAGACGCCAGCGATAGCAGGTTCGACAACTGGAATGATCGTATCAGAAAGTAATTTAGAATGATGATCAAAAGCCAGATTCAGTACGGCGGAAAAACATATAAAGCTCATTATTTAAAACACTGCCGCATGCAAATCGTTATGAGAACGGAATCCAACGTATGAGAGATTGCTGTGAACAACTTCTTTTAGTAAGTCGAAATGGCCATTTGAAATTTGAAATAAATGTATACCGGCTGAAAGGTCTCTGGACAAGGATTACGAAACCGTCTTCCATATCAGCTGCGGACCTCCAAGAAAAAAGTTACGAAGCTTTTCAAGGGAGTATACCCACATTCAGTACGAGTTGACGGCATAAGGCTGATGAGATCGTGGCAGCGCGGCCAAGCGATTACGTCGTAGAGCTCATACGTGGTCAAAGGTTTGGATACTTGATGCGTGTGCTCTTTTGCAATTTTTTTGAAAATTGTTTCTGTGCACTCGAAAACGTCTCTGCATAAGAATTGTGCTTGGTAATGTCGTGAAGTGATATTTCGGAACTAATGGAGCTTCTGCGAACGTTTTCAGAACATTCCTGGCTGAAGAGATTGCCATACGAGCCGAAAACTCCCAGCAGGTGCGAAAGCATCACCTGAGGATGGAATATTCTTCAACATTATGCGAGTGATGAATGAAGATTTTGCTCATCACGATCTCCAGCATGACTGCGACATCAATGCTACGTCTTGTGAAAGCATTTCCCAACTATACTCATCTTTGCGCACAACTTCGTGCGGTTTCAGATTCGGTTTCCAGCCGTCGTTTGGGGAAAAAGTCATTATTTAGGGCAAACTAATTTGTTGGAGTGCATTTTTGTTGCGAAAATATGCTTTTGAAAAATTGATGAAAGAAGAATTCAACAGCCAAAAATTTCCTTGGTGAAATGGCTCCATCAAGTCAGAAACATTACATCATGACATTATCAAGCACAAGATGATGCAAAATCGCTTTGAAAGCCACAGAGACAACTTTCGAAAAAAATGGAAAAGACCACACACATCAAGGATCTAAACCCTTAACCGCGCATTCGTAACGTAACCACTCGGCCGCGCTGCTACGATAGCATAAGCATTACGCGACCAATTCGTACTGATTGCATTCTGGCATTTATGCATTGCTTCCCCTGAAAAGCGCCGTAAACTTTTCTGGGAGGTCGGCAGCAGATATGGAAGATGGTTTCGTAACCCTCGTCCAAAGCCCTTTCAGTAAGTATAGATTTCATTTCAAATGTCCACTTCCACCTACCACTCTTTCCTTGTAAGACATAACCACCAATATAAAAGGGTTGGAAAGCAAAAAAAATCAGGTTCTTACACACGTACAATGTGAAACCACTCGGATTCTTCCAGAAGTCGGTAGAAAGTGGATGGAGACGAATCCATGAAAGCTACACTCGGAC